TTTTTTTTTTTTTTTTTTTTTTTTTTTTTTTTTTTTTTTTTTTTTAATTAGACTATTTAGTTATTACAAAAGCTACCATTAGCGTAACAATTATGAAAAATTGCAGAGAGCAAAGGGTGTGTACGGCTGCTTGCTGTAGAGATGATTTGTCGGAGAATTCTTCGTCGCACACCTCTTCTCATTCGTCTAGGACGTCTCACACGTCGAATCGAGTGCAATCAGGTTTCCCCGTGGAGGAACACGAGACGAATGGATCTAGCTTAGACTTTTTCGAAGCAAAAGTATTCTATAAAATATCCTATAAAATATCATATTCTATAGATTCGTGCTTTTACATTGTTAAAAAATTACTACGATTCTTACAGGGTTCTTCTGGACAACGTGATAGTAGCAACGACGTGTTCCTCAGCGTGAGAAGTTCCCCGGAGTGTAAAGGTTTGATGGCACCAGCCACGGATTTAGGAGCAGAGTGGAAAAAGAAATTTGACGCGACAGGAATGCCCGGTGATGCTTCATTACCCCTTTTACGTGGACTATCGCCAACACCTACGCACGGGCAACATAGTTCGCCCTTCTTCAATGCGAAACGTAAGAAATACGTCTACCCGATTACACTGGTTGGTCGAGGCGAAAGTAGCGTTTAATTGCAAAATATTAGACCGACCGGGGACCATAGAGAAGAGGCTGGATAGATTTTAAGTAACCAATAGGTGTCTGTGCCAATGTCACATCCTTCAGTGTGATCGTTTAGAATCCCTTAAAACCATTGACTAGATGAACATACGAAATATTCTAAAATTAAGGGGCCATATATGTGCGTTGCCTCTTTTTATACGATCTTTCACTGAAGCATGAAGACAGTAAATGAAGGTTCGAAATTTGAAAAAAGTTCTAAGATTTTCGAAATAATAGGTAGATAGTCAAATTGGAATATTTAGTTTTTATTATAGGATAAAAGAAGCTACTTTCTGTTTCCCTTTTTGTACAGCCTCGAGTGAGACGAAATATTTTCTGATTCAAAAAGTTTTCTGCCAACTTAAATAATAAACCAAAGGACAAATAAATACTACAGAGATATAATTACGTGTACATTAAAGCTCTAAAAAGTAAATATACATATATAAAAACAAATAGGAAAATTAGTAAAAAGGCAATGGATTATATGAATGACAATTTACACAAATGAAGATGCCTTGCCATTCAAAAGAAATATCAACTTTTAAAAGTAACTTATACGAATATAGATTCTTGTTCTTTTTGATCTGTTGATTGTTATAACATGGTAAAAATATGTAAACGTTTGTAAGGAAGTTGAACTGGCCTATTCATCGATCGTTTAGTACGAATTTTTATGCATTTTTGCACATTTCAGTACATTATTGTACATTTTTGTACAATAGAGTTAAAAAAGTGTGTGATAAAATAACATAGTGTTGTTTAAATGTATTTCTTATAATCATCCATATGATTTTACTATGTCACTTAACATTGTCTCTTACTTGACGATTGAGATCTTTTTTTATTATACGATTAAACAATAATTTCTATTACATTTTGTATTAATTTTTTAACGAACGTGAAAATAGGACTGAAAATGTATACAGATTATACAGAAGATGTAAAATATCCAGTAAAAAATATAATTATGTAACAGAAAACTATGAACTATGAAACATAATTTTTATTAACAATTTTTTAATAGTTGAAAACTTAAAGTAAAATTACTGTATTTATGTAAAAAAAAAAAATAGAAAAATATATTTGATCTATTTAATTTTTAGCTTATATAATAGATATTTAGAAAATACCATATATAATATATAAATATTAGAAAAATATTGTAAGTGACATTTGTAGAATATATATAATTAGCAAAAAGGTGATATATTGCAAAGTAATTCATTTAATGTATCAAAATATACTTTTCAACAAATAAAAATGCTAATTTGATCCTTCTTACCCTTTTTTTATTTTACTTTTTTAATCTAAAAAGTTATTGTTGAAATTTAAAAAGCTCTTTATTGCATGGCAGATGCCCATGGTGGGGTCATTGGTTGTGGATTTTGTAAGTATGACATTACAACTGCTGATATAGATAACATAAAACTACTAAGAATTTGTTTGGCATCATCAGTCACTTTAGAGTTGGCAAAACTGATACATGAACAATATAATGCAACCCATGCACACCATTTTAATCTCATCATTAAACCACACATGCTAAAGATCATTCCTAATATATTCATATAATCTGGAGTTGAATTGTCGCCTGGTTGCACTTGACTACTTGACACACTCGGTTTGTAACGAACTTCTCGTTCTGGACGTCTAGGATCCGATGAACTGTTCATTTTATCAACTGAAATTTATAGATAAATTCTTATTTAATGACCTAATAATATTACAAATTATAAAAGTCAGGAAAATTTTTAGGTTATCAAATTTATAATACATTATAACAAAGTTATATCGATAAAAATTAATGTTAAGTGATAATAATTCAAAATGATATAAGTTCACTTACCAATACAGTATAATACAGTATAATAATACAGTATAATAAATATATAAAATGTAACTTATACGAGCAACTGTAATTTAACAATGACAATCAGCTGACCATTCAATAAATGTTTCCTTTCAATCAAATGCACTATGAAGTTCCTCACTTCAGACATAATCCTGACATGTAGTAATATTCTAATGAGTTTAAGAATACTCAAATAATTTTTAAAAAAGTAATATATTTTATTTTTGAATATATTTAAAACCATCAATATGTAACATACATTTGTTTATTTTCAGATTTAATTAAAAATTACTGAATTCTCATTAATCATTTATTCTTACATTCTAATACACATAAGGTATCGTAAAATCGATACATCAAATCGAAATCATATATTCATCACGTGCAGTGTAGGATACGCGCCACGTGCATTATTCTAAACATTATTTAAGGTTTCCATAAGCGTTCTAAATATTTTTATTCTAAACGTTAATTTTTATTCTAAATGTGAAAAAATACATAGTTTAAAAATGAATATAATACCGTGTACAACTTGGGTGAGAAAAGGTGTTGCCTCTACAAATCCTGAAAAGGTTAATCAATTTTAATGTATAAAAATGAAAGTATTTCTAGTGCGAAGTTTGTTTTGTTTAATGGATCTAATTTACTAATTTTTGTAGATTGAATTAACTCCAAAGGAATTAGAACAAATTATAAAAGAAACACAGTCTGAATTACAGTAAGTATTATAATAATATATCTGGTAATTTTAAAGGAGAATTTGACAACTTTAAAAATATTTCAATTTTTAGAGATATTGAAAGTGATATAGACGAGGAACATGATGAAGTTGTAAAAGAAAAAAATGAAGCAGAATCTCAACCTAATACATCCATAATCGATGAATATAACTTTGATAAATATGATGACGAATGTAAGATAAGTTTTATCAGATTATAATGTAAGTAACGTATTTTTTTATAAAATTGATGTTAAAATACAGCAAATAGCATACATTGCAATATTGGTGGTATTGCAATTTTTGAAAAAGATGGAGAAGATCCCTTTATAACAGGAGAAGACAATGATTCAGAGAAAGAAGATGATATTATCAAAAGTGATGACAATCTTGTATTAATAGGACATGTAGAAGGAGATGCCAGTATCCTGGAAGTATTTGGTTTGTATATTATATAAGTATTATAATTTTTTAATAAAAACTCTTTCCAAACAATTTCTAAAGCATAAATTTAAATATCTTTCAGTATATAATGAAAATGAAGGTTCATTTTATTGTCATCATGACATATTGTTACCATCATTCCCACTGTGTATAGAATGGCTCAACTTTGATTCTTCAGATCCAAAACCAAGTAAGTATAAAATATTTTTCTATAGTTGTAGAATTTATATAAACTTTTTTTCCTGTTATAGGTAATTTATGTGCAATTGGTAATATGACTCCTATAATAGAAGTGTGGGATTTAGATTTGATAGATTGTTTAGAACCAGCTTATAAACTTGGTTCTAAACCAAGTAAAAAAAAAAATCGGAAACGTGTCGGACATAAAGATGCTGTATTAGACTTAGCATGGAATGAAAATTATGTGTTAGTATGAACTATTCACTAAAAAAATTTTATTGAGAATTTTTTATATTCACTAATAAAATAGTTTTTTATATACTTTTATAGGCATGTACTTGCTAGTGGCTCTGTTGATCAAACGGTTCTATTATGGGATTTAGAGAATGGAAAACCTGTAAATAAATTTACATCTTTTTATGAAAAAGTTCAGTCATTAAAATGGCATCCAAAAGAAACTCATCAATTACTAACAGGTTGTGCAGATAAGTATGTTCATCTTTTTTCAATTATTTTATATTAGAGATTTTGTAACTGAAAAATAATTATATGTTTTATTCAGGGTAGTGAGATTATTTGACTGTAGGTATAAAGAAATTGTAAAGACATGGAAAATATTGGGAGAAGTGGAAAAAGTATTGTGGAATCATTTTGATCCAAATTATTGCATAGTAAATATATGAAATATATTAATTTTTGTTTGAGATAAGATTAGATTATTTAAAATCATTTTAATTGTTATTTTTGGTTTAGGTTAGTACCTCTAATGGATATATACAATATATAGACATCAGACAAGACGAACTAGTTTGGAATATAGAAGCTCACACGCAAGAAGTAACTGGTAAATTATATAAAATTGAAATATGAAAAATGTTCATAAATATGAATTATAAGTAAATTCACGATTTTAGGTTTATCACTTAGTTCATCATGCTGTGGACTTCTAGTTACTTCAGCAAATGACGGCGTCATAAAAGTATGGGATATTATTAACAATTCAGAACCACGGTTTATTTGGGAAACAAAGACTAATCTTGGTACTTTATTATGCCTTGCATCAAACCCAGATAGTCCTTTTATATTTTCTGCTGGCGGTGATAATAAATCACATAATTATAAGATATTTGATATCTCAGAAGTACCAGAAGGTATGTCAATATATAATTCTAATTTATATTATATCATATTATTTATAATTTAATATCTTTTCTTATTAGTACGCGAGAGATTTCAAGAACGAAAGCGTATTACATTGCGAAGTATTACCAATGATACAAAAATAAAAGAAGAAGAAATGATGGATGTAACTGAAGATATAGATTCAATAGTTTTAAATGCAGATAACAAGAAAAATAATGTCTAAAAGAAAGAAATAAAAGTAAGTAAAGAAGTACAATAAAGATTATAAATTATATTAATAATGAAATCTGCAAATACTACAACTCAAAGGTAATTGTGCTACTTTTTACTTGTATATTATTTTGATATAAATAAAATATTAAAAAGGAATGCACATACTTGGAAGGCTAAACTAAAATTTGTATTGTTTCTTCTTAAAACATGTAATTTATTTTTTCCTTGTAATAATATATTGTTAATTTCAACAGTATTTTTCGAAAGTTTTATAATCTGTACAACATAGTAATTCTGTTCTAATAATTTACAACACACACAAATTCAATTTTATTTTAACATATTTTTACACATTAAAGACAATTGGTACAACTTTTGATTTGAATTGATCCAATATTTTAAAAAATTTTAAGACATTGATATTGAATTGATTTTAAAAATTATTTTTTTAATCAATGAATGTAATTGATATTATAGATTTTGTAGTTGTACATTATAAAATATAAAGCGTGTACTGTAATGATTAAGAATACATTATCTTGATAATGATAATTTAATATAATTTAAAATATATCTGTCATTGATTTTTTTCAATTTTTGTCTAAAGTAAATATTAAAATCAAAATGATTTGTAATTACAGCTGAGAATATAAAAAGTTAAAATTAGTTTCTATTCAACGAAAATTTGATATTTATTTTATAAAATTTATAAAATCGATGATCATGAAAAACAATTGAGAAATAGCAATTACAATTTCATTTATGTCATAAACTCTTTTTAACATGGCATGATTATATAATTTTTTGGTACCTGAATAATTGTATGTATAAATGTTTGTAAAAGTATGGATTTACTTTCAGATTTATGATAAAGAATATTTACTTTAATGACAAATTACATCTTAGAGGTCACTCTAACTAGCATATAAATATTTTACATAAAATTAAAAAGAATTAGTTGTATAACATGTTAACATTCCATGTACTTATGAAATAATCGTATGGTCCTTGTAGTCACAATAAATTTTGTTTATCAATTCAGTAATGCTATTTCTTACCTGGTAACGAAAGACATGTAAAAATAAATATAAAAAGAATTATAAATCACAGTTATAAGTGATTGGGCAGTTACTAATATGAGCTAGCTTTGCAGCTTTTACGCTCTGCTGTAGTACCAGTAATAAAAAAATGATAGTCTTCTGTAGATATATTTCAATATTTGTGATTTTACTACATAAAGAAACTAATATTTAGTAAATTGGTCAAATATTTTCGAGTAATATGTCGAATCTCTATATCTTAATAGATTATTAAAGTATGGACAATAAAGAAGTACATAAAAGTTACATCTGTTGTGTTGAACATAATGAAAATTGTGAGCAATCAAAATTAACAAAATTCTTTATTATAAATTCAGATATTATTTAAAATATATATTAAATCATACGATACCTATTTCAATTTATATTATATTCTATATTATGTAATTTAATTGTATATTCTTTTATGTATACATATACACAATGTATATATATTATGTATATATATATAAATTAAAAACTTCTGCATTAATGAAATTAACTGCTATTAAAATGTAAAACTTGGAACAGATCAAATTTATAGATAGTTTGGAATGGGATAAAGGTATATACGTACCAATGCCAGTGTCTTAATTCGTCCTCGCAGTAATTATTAAATAAACAAGTCAAATACCTCATACATAAATGAGTTTGTTAAAATATTCTAATTATCAATAATCTTACAACATGCTTTCTGGCAGTGGTGTCATAGATTCAATGAAAGTCATGTGGACATTATTATGTCAACAATTATATCAAATTCCATTTGCCATATTAAGGTACATATATAATGCATTTGTTATGATTAATATTGTATAAATAATGTCTTATGTAATATCCAAAGTTGCACAGATAAAATTATCTAAAATATTTAAATAAATATTAAAAATCAATTTTCTGAATATTATTAATCTAAGAAATAAACAAATTTAACTAACTTTTGTTTTGAGTGTCAAGATTACTGTTATGAAACAGATAGTTTTGATGTCAATATGTAGCAACAATATATAACATATTTCTTACATTATATTGAAGACATAATTCAATGTTTCCACTGATAGCATAAAACATCTGACTTCATTGAATGTTACATAACCTGTAACATATAGACAAAATGGTTGTTTTTGTCTATAAAATGGACCATAGTCCATAAAGATTGACATATATTATATATTAATTACATTAATTCATACACATATGTAATATAGCACTGAGCTAAGCATCTGTTCCTATATCAAGACTTCTAGAATCTTGATTAGAATCATGCTGACTTCCATTTTCAGAAGAAGCACTGCTAGATAAACCAGATTGATCTGAACTTTTTTTCACTTTGGGCTTATATTCTGTAATAACGACAGTAACATTGTTCACTGTCACTTCATTGGTCTGAGCAGTACTACGATCTATATTTTTAAGACGAGGTGGATGCCTATTTTTACGCCTTGGTTTGTCCAATTTACGGTCTTTTTCTTTACCACTACTAGTTGTACTACCCCCACTTCCGCCTTCCTTTTTTCCAGGTTTTAAAAGTGGTACATATTGTTGCTGTGCAACCTACATATGAATAATGTTAATGAGACTATATATTTTTAATATATATTATAACTTTATTATACATTATTGCACTTGTAATATATAAGAAACATTATAATAAAATACTGTAATAATGTAACCTGTTGTGCCACAAGTTGGGGATTAATACGGGGTTTCCGCGTCGAAGTTCCTTTGCGGACGTCACACATGAGGCACTTAAATGCTTCTGCGGTATTTCTATATGTGCAAACACTGCAGTCCCAATAGTTTTCTTCCAAAACCTTCGCCTGACGTTTTCCACTTCCCGAATGGTTCATTGTTCATGAAAGTCAGTTGTAGAACACTGTACCTTCTCAAAAGAGAGCTAGCCTTCCTATACGTGCTTTCAGCCTCATTAAAAGTGATTTTATAAACACTGGATACTTTATGACAATGAGAGTGCTCTAAAAGAGCAAGGATAAAGATATGTAATAAAAGAAATAGACAATTGCCTAAGACAATATTCTGTGCATCAACTAAACAAGATACACAATTGTCTGACGTATTCATCTTTGCTATATAAGCCATCTATATCTCTTTGTTGTGACATTCTGATGTACATGTTTTAAAATATATATCTAAAACAAATAAAATATACATTTGTTATAACATGGTAAATAATTGTTCTTAGTATTTAACACAAATTTCACACTGTATCTGTAGTTTAATCCGTATATTGTGTAATAAACATATTTTACACAATTATTAATTGTGTAATAAACATATAGACGCGCGTGCGCGTACATTACGATACACAATGTTTAAAAAATTAAATCGATTTATTACAAAAATTCGTAATAAAATAAACTTTTATATAGAATAATATAAAATATAAAATAATATTATTTATTCAATGTACCTACCAATTGAAAGCACCAATTTATGGAACTTTTTGTATAGTAAGGGTTATCCGTCGTTTTTTGTTATATCACAAATTTTTACTTTTTCACTTACAAAACTTATATTAAACATCCATGGGGCAATGTGTTATTAATAAAATCTTAATTACGAAAAGTTTAAATACTTTTTATAATGTAAAGATTTCAAACATTCTTTTCTTTAATGAAACAGATGGAATTCTTCACTTGCATATAAAAGTAGCATTATTCCACATATAAGATGTTCTCCTTGTCAGTATTATCAGTATGTTTTATGCACGTACACAAGACACTTTGACACATTTACAGTCAAGATATTTTTCTGATCTTTTGTGTCATTGTAAAACAGTTACTTTACACATAAAACGTTATAAAAACCAACTAACTCGAAGATATTGACAAACAATCCAAAGCGCTGTTCCCCTATAAGTCGAACAGCGGAATGTTGAATACGGACTAAAATACTATTCGGTTTGGCAACATTGTACGTACCAGTGTTGTAGATCGTAATGGAAAGGCCCTTTTCTACTTACTCAGTTACGAGAAATATAATATGTATCAATATATTTTATTATAGGTTGTATGAGATTTTTAAATAACATGATGTTGTAAGGGAACATGAATTATCACGAATATTACTTCACGGTAATATAAAAAGATATTTATATGAATAATTTTCGAATATGTGCTTGCGTACAAAATTTTTAATTATTTCAATCTTTTGTTTTATTGAGTATTTATAGTATAGAGTTTTACATACTTTCTACTTAATGATACATAAGCAAAAAAAAATCGTAAAATACAGGTTTCGGTTTAACTTTCACACATTCCTGAAAGTTTTCTCTTGAAACAAGTACATAGATGCGACACACATTAAATGTGTCATACGGTAGATATATGATAGTGCCGGACACGATAATTCCCAACTGTTAAGTGGATGTTTTTTTCTTTTACTGAGTTTGATAAAAAATAATGCGACGTATGTAAATGTAATTACGAAGGAAAATAACAGTCTATTGTACAAAGTTGTGCTAGATAGCATGGTATGTTGAATAACTGTTTACCAATTTTGACATTTAGAACTAGTTTCAAGGTTAACGAACATAAACAATAATAAAAATTAGTATTTTTTTCACATGGAAAAAAAATACTAAATAGTTACGAAATACACATAACAAATATTTTATATACTAGGATGCATCAAATGAGATGGATAAATCATGGGATCATCCATGGACCACAGAGGAAATGCGAAGAAAGAGAAGAGAATGGAGTTTAGCAGGAGATGCAGGCCTCCTTAAGCATCTTCAGCAATTTTCCGATGTACGTTTGAAATTTAGTATAATATTTCTTACTAATTAGCATATATTAAAATCATATATACAGGTCTTATATTTATTGATAATATTTTTTACAGAATGTAGTATCGAGAGCAAATAAAACTCAAGAAGCCTTAGATTCACTGACAACTCAACTAAATGAAACCACAATATTTATAGATAATGTTACCAATACATCTTTGGCTTTAGCCAATACTCAATTTATTGAAAGCCGTGTGCAGGAAGATAATATAGAAATTGGGGAACAAGTAGAAACATCAATTCAGGTAATTGAGAATTTTAGGATGCAAGACATTATGATTTTTTTCAATTATATTGTATATGTTAAAATTTGCCTTTAGCAAAATAAAGATGAAGATTCTACAACTGCAGATTTTATAGCTAGTGTAAGTGAAAGTGTAAAGCAAGGCCTAAATATAATGTATGAAAAATATAAAGAAATGGAGTTTGTTGATAGTGACAGTGAAGAAGAGGACAATAAAGTAGTACTAAGGTAAATGTTATTGTCAAACTACTTTTATTATTGCTGAACTATTTTGATTAAAGTATTAATAATTTAATTATAGTGTTGTATTGGGGCCAAATAATCCATACCAAGAACGACCTTTGCCTTATGTTATTGGCTCAGAAAAATGGAAAAATTCAAATAAAATTGGTCTAGAAAGCAGTAGTGAATCTGAACAAGTAGATGAAGAAGAGGAATCAGAAAGTGAAGATGATACAACAGCAGCGTTTAAAGATTATAATTCTTCTTTGAATGAATCTGATTACAGCAAAAGGAATGCTATGGCATATATAGGCAATGACAAAATGGATACACTTAGTCAAAATGATATAGATTCTGTCCCTGAATCAATTACTCCTACTGATACTGTATCAAAGGTTTTTTTACATATTTCTTTACATATTTCTTTTCTTTTAATATGTATATATTCTACGTTATTTTTTGTTGTATCTGTTATAACATTATAAGATCTTTATATTTTATTTTAGGTACCATTACCAAACAACATAACACCAAATTTTGCAGAAGAATTAGCCAAGCGATTAGGTACAGTTCGACAGGCCCAAAAACCTGTTGTAGATGAAAAAAATGAGGCATCAATAAATCGATTTAAAGGTATTGGCATAATTTAAATTTATTTTTTATCTTCTTATTTCATTTTATTTTAAATTCATTTTATTATTTTTTAGTGCATATTTAATTTTTATTACATTTTTTAGATGATTTATTTACACCAGAGGAAGATGAAAATATTTTGAGTGATAAATCTAAAATTACATTGGGCAGAAATAAAGGATATTTAAATGATCAATTCACTGGAGATTTATCGAAGGAAAAACAAATCAAATCATATAAGAATAATATCATACCTGCTAGTATCGATGTACCTCCTCCAATTAGTACTGTTTGTAAGTTTTTTTTATAGTTTAAATTTTTACAAACTTGTGTCTTTTTAAGATGTTCAATAAGAGAATCTGTATTTGTAGCGACGAAACCAAAATCTGCAATTGATGATCTTTTTGCTGATGTTGATTCCGATGATATTTTTTCGCCGAAGAATACAATCACGAAAAATAAATATTCTAGTAATAATAATCAGTCAGCAAATTCAAAAAATATACAAAAGAAATATTTGGAGACTGTAACAGCAACTAATAATATGGCCACAAGTACCCCAGAAGCAGACGTAAATACTACTAATTTATTTAATGATGACGAAGATGTTAGTGATCTCTTCGGATCATCTAAAAACTCACAATTAAATAAAAAAGTAGGATCGCGTAAAATAAACTTGAAACATAAATTTGAAACATAAATAATTTTATGAACTGTAAATTAATATCTTGTATAATATTTTAGAAACCAGTGGAGGGAGTATCAATATTTGGAAATATCTTAACTTCAGAGATTGAAGGTAAATTATCTCGTAGGATATCGCAAACTCAATCATCTGGATCATCCGGAAGTAATACATCAGCGAATTATGAAATTAGCAATGAATCGATACTTGGTCGTTCGCGAAATACTATTTTGAACAATAATATTAGTGAACGAGACTCCAGTGTGATAGCAAGAAATAATACAGAAAATTCAGGCATCGTCACTGAAAATAGCTACAGCAGCGGAATATCGATTGATCCACCAAGTATCAATAATACAGGTGGTTCAAGCATAGGGTAAGTTCCATTTTTTTTACTATTGTAATAATTATTTAAATTAAGTTAAATAAGGAATCAGATAATCTAAATTATGAGTTATGATATAGTCTGCTAAAAATAAAATTATTGCGATTATTGGGTCATTTTTGATAATATATTGATAGAAAGTATCGTCTTTTTATTTCTACATGCACAAAAAATACACGAACCACGCATATAAAATTGAATTGATGATCCAAACATTAGTCATCCTTCATTACATTGCGGTGATTGTATTGACTATATGCGCAAACTCAAGGCGAGCTCCTTTAGTTTACTTGTATCCTATTCCAAACTAGTAGACATATGTTTGAAACATAATCAACAGTTTTTAAATTGTTTATTTATTTCTAATTACATAGAATCTAGTAAGTACTACATTATTTCTTAATATATATTATTTATATCTTGATAATAATTTTTTAGTTTGCAAAAATAGATTCTGCAGATTTTATATTACATTGCTGCTATATAAATTATATCATTAGTATCAATACCCTTTCTTTTTCTAATTTTCTTGAATAACAGTATAACCATAATATGTAAAACAGTGGGTAATACATGTACATATTGATGTAAGATCAGGTCACTTACGCAAATCTTGTTATATGGCTATTCAAATGACGCATATGTTGTTTGCAATCTCTGTAACACTTTTCTACCAATAGATACGTTTTAAATTTATAATTCTTTTTAACTTGCCATACAAAAGATTTTTCCTGATATAATTTAGTTTATAATTTAGTTGTCAATAGAAATTGAATCACTTAATAATAATAAATCATCATAAATTATCGCTTCAAGTCTGTTGAGAATTTATTATATGCAATTATATATTTATTTTGTCGCGAGTTATTGATAATTGTCATATTATGTATCATCTCGTTGTACGTATCTCGCAAACAGTTGTTATTGAATAATTAAATTTGTTTTAAAAAATTGTTTCATCGAAGAAAATATTAGTTTCCTGGAGTATTAACATTTTTTTATGATAAATTCATTTTAGATAATGCATTTCACATTTTTCAATCTTTATTTGATCAGCGAGCGTTGCCTTATTGATTTTATCACATGTCTAACTCTATATGTATTTTATTAACATGCACTGTGTTTTAAGTTTCATGTTTCACTTTCTTTTTATTTTATGATTATTTATGAACATATTTTTAAGTGGGAAAATCGTATCTTTTAATAGAGAAAATAAGATTGTTATTTATTCTTGTTCAATCTTATCAATTCTTATGGAATATTTTGTTCTAGCGTTGACTTCCAGCCTCAGATGACGTCAACACTTTTAAAATCGGAAGAAATCTACCGAGAACGAATCAGCAATGATAGCCTTTTCACTGCACGTACACAGAATGCAGTAAATGTTACTTCGATTTCGAATTCGACAAATAATCAACCGCAGGAAGAATCGATCGAAGATATTTCATCTATACAACAGGATGATGCATTCGAAAACGAAGATCTATTTGGTCCACCTCCATTACCAAAAGCGGATTCAAAGCCGGCAAAATCGAAGATACCATCGTTATTTGACGATTCCGATTCTGGTGACGAATTATTCTCGACGACCAGTTCAGGTTCTAGATCGCAAAGAAGTAGCGATTTATTAACTTCTCAGTATTCCGATAAAATCAAATCCACGCAACGGAAAGGCCTCTTTGACGAGGAAATCGATATATTCAATAATAAGGATTCACCAGACGTCGATATTTTTGGCATAATACCGAAACCGATTGCAAAACAGGAAAACAGTACCTCTAATAGAAAATTTTTGGACATACCTGATGATGATCTATTCGCAAACAATATCCGAGATACGATGCCGAAAAACAATGGCTTAGAAAAGAATGAAAACGTTACTACGTCGAAGGAAATTAAATTGTTTGATGATGATGATATCGAAAACAATGATCTATTTACTATAAAACCTGTGAAAAGCGAAACTAAAAATGAGCCTAGCATTTTTAACAATGATGATGAGAATGATTTATTTTCCGTGAAGAAGCCAATTGATAAGAAACAAAAAGATGATAAACAGTTGTTAGAAACGGTTGCATCCGGAATAGATGTCACGACTCGGAAAGTTTCAGTTGGGAAGAGCGAAAGTAAGAGTAGCGATATTCTTTCAAACAACGGATTGTTCTCTACTACTATTGGGTCACACGGATTAATTTTCGAAGATGATGATTACGATGATTTGTTCAGTACCAAAAATATATCAACGGAAAAAATAAAAGAAGATGCACATTTAAATTTGGATACGATGGAGGAGACTAAAGAACGTTCTATTAAGAATGTTGAAACATCAGATGATTCTGATATCTTTGCTAAATCTGAAAAATCGAGTGTCCCTATTACCACTCTTAAGAATATAGAACAAAATAATGATATGCAAATTACTAGATCTGATGAACGCGACTCTATGCAAAATACTGAAAATGAATTAAAGAAGAGCCCTCCAAAATCGTTAGACATACAAACAACTGTTGCCTTGTCTTCGCCCGAAAAAAATAATCAAGGAGCTAAACGAGTAGTTTCTGGAAAGATAAAAAATTTAATGGGAAGAATGGGGGACTTGAAGATGATCTCGCCTATGGATACACCACCGGTATGGCGAAGAAGCAAGGAAAAAATGGATGAGGAAGATAGTGCAGCGGATAGAGATAGCGATGACGGTGGATATGTTAGTACACAAGGTCATAATTCGCCATTAAGTGTATCAGGTAATGTACACTTATTGTTTAATATAGTATAATTTACTTTCTTAATATGGTATATTTCACTTAAAGTCAAATGTTTCAAATTTTTCAGAAGACAATACTACACAGAAACAATTGCAGCAGTCGACAACTGCGGATGAAAATAATGTAGAAAATGCCATTAGTTTCGACGAGCCAGCTCAAGTGGAAACGTTATCTACTACCGCTTCAAAGGTAAACTAGTATTGAAAGCTTGAAAAATAATTCTGCTGATCATGTTATTTATTTATTTATTTCTATTCTTTTTATCAGACCCGAGTTAGAATACAAGCGAGACGCCGACCACAAAGTAGACAAGCACGAAAATCCGCCATTAGGCAAAGCGGAATCGATTTTGATACTGTAGATGCTGTTAAGAATAATTCACAAGATGAGAATCAAGTTAATCAATCATCAAGTATTTTTAGTAAAGAAATCTCCACGGCTGTGAATGTTAGTGCCCCGCATACAACCACCGTGATTTCTGATCACTTGATTTCGTCGACCAACGATAATCTTTATCGAACGTCTGACACTAACATTTTCTTGGTTGCGGATGATAAATCTGAATTAGGCAGCATAAGCAAGGAAAGTTCAATGAGTGCGAACAAAAATACTTTGTTGTCCCCGTCTACGGACGAAGAAGATTTATTTGACGTACCGCCAGATTTACCAGAGGATCCACAAAAAGAAGATACACTGTTTGGTAGGGCGCCTATTCTTTCTCCAGTTGAGAAAGTTATTTCTGAGAAGCCACCTGTTACCTTTAAAGTATTAAAAGACACGCACATTAAACAAGTCGATGATGTAGAAGCAGAAACAGAAAAAACTCCACAGAAGGTAGAAAAAAGTAGCACGCTATCTGAATCTAGTATCTCTTCTAATGCAAATGTTACAATTTCACGCGCCACTAAAAAGGAATCCACGCAAGAAGATACGAAATTCGAAGACAAATTAGAAGAAATGATCGATCCATTACGAGATGATAGTCATGATCCGTTGAAAGATCCAAGTCAGTTATTCGCTTTTGTTACGAAAACACCGTCTCCAGAAAAAGGAAAGAACTTGCTATTTTCCGAAGATGATAGTTTGTTCTCTAGTGGTAACAAGAAATTAGCTGAAGAAAAATCTACGAAAAAACCAATCCTAGACTTGTTTACTGATGATGTGGAAAGTGATCTATTTTCGGCGACTTTAACTAAATCTATATCTATAAAAAAACCTTTGAAAGATACCAAGATTAGTTTGTTTGACGAAGAAGATGAAGATGATAGTTTATTTGGATCTGTTGCAAAAAAGTCGACGATGGAAAGCGAACTCGGGAAAAAACATTCTGCGGAGCAATCAGCGAAGAAAATAAGCTTATTCGGTGATGACGATAACGACACAAATCTATTTTCTGAGCCATTTGAACAAACACAGAAGTCAGATTCTGAAAGTATTCAAGAAAAATCGAGTAAAAATGACACGTTTACAAGCATTACGGAGACCGTGAGAACCTCGCACATTACGGATATTTTTGCCGATCAATCGAGCGGAGAAGATGATATTTTCGCGAAGATATCGGCTCCAAAGAAAATCACTGTCACATCGAAATCCCTGTTTCCTTCTGACGACGATGACGACGACGATAATATTTTCGGTAAGAAATTCACAAATGAATCGCAAATAAAAACAACAGAAATACGCTCGAGCGTTAAAAAAGCGGTGACAAGGGATCTAAAAAAGACAGCTGAAAAGATTGGCGAAGACCCATTGAGTGCTTTATTAGATGATTAAATGTATTTTTTTCTTTTTCGGAAATTATTAGATAGTTATTGATATTTGTTGTTTCATGTATACATTTCATAAGTTTCTGAAATTAGAAATTGAACATATACAATACTTCCAAAGTTGTATATTTCTCGCAAATCAGGTGTATAAATTATGGATAACGCTGTGCGTTCAAAAATATTGTCACTGCAAAATGATGGAAAAAAAATTTGATTGTATATAAAGTATATTTGTTTTTATTTATTCTTTCTATTGCTACAGATATTTTACAGTATTTTTTCATTGTCACTGTTATAAATAGAAGTCATAAAACTAAAATCTATTAAACTACTAAAATCGTAATAGTACCGAGGACAACGAACAATAGAATATTACACAAATAAAACTGTAATTGATATTGCTTGATTTGTTGCCATCTTGTTACACAATCCTTTTGCATAGTCTGCAAGCAATGCTTTTACATGTGATGGTATATCATGATAAATATTATATTTTCTGTAATTTATATATAATTCGTCGTGTATGTATATTTTATTTGTTGATAAGACATTCGGTAATATATTGTATTGTATATATTGCATTCTCTCTATGAAACGTGTATTGAAGTACAAATAAATTAACAAAATAAATATTATCATTTATACTGTATTTGAAGATTTAATTTTTATTCTCATACAAACAAATACATACAAGTCTAATGAAGAGATAATTTTTGTTATTAGATTTATACTTATTAATTAAAGTAACTATTTTGGAAATTTTATCATTTATCTATGTTTTTAATAAATTTATGTTAGTAAATGCAGAATTTTTTTTTTAATATTCATTAATTTCTAGCAATTCGTACACTAATCGGTTCAAAAATACATCCGGGACAAGGCTAGTATATTTTGAAATTCATTGTCAATGAAGGAAAAATGAAGAAAATTTATTCATAAAAGAAATAAATTAAAATTATATTTAAAAAATTCATTGATTTAAAAAAATAAATGTATCATTCATCTAACTTTAAAATTCATCTTCTTTTGAAAATACACATCGGTAACTCAACTATTATTAAACTATAACATTAAATAATATAATTAAAAATAAACTATAACATTAAATAATATAATTAAAAATAAATAATATAATTAAATATAATTAAAAATAATATAATTAAACTATAACATTAAACTTCAATTCCATAATTTTCATTAATTTTTACATTATATTTATATAAAATTTGTAAAATTATGTAATATTATGCACAATACAATTATGTCTAATACAATTACTTGAAAGCCTTACGATACAAATGCATCATTTTTTATTATTTTCAATAATCATTTTTAAATTCATTCTAAAATAAAATTCTCGGTAATTTTTATAATGACATATGTTATCACATCAGTTTTTTACAATGACATGTATTATCATCTTTTCAGTCAATTACATGGAGATATATTCGTTTATTCGTTTCCTATTTCCTATTCATTTATTCAGAAAATGTCTCAAAAACATATGAAATAAACATTTATAGGGACTGTTTTGCGATACATTAACATGTCATTTCCGCTTCTTCATTTCCACCATTTTAACCATTCAGTAAATAACATTTTTTTTAAATTTGAATAAAGGATTAATTTCTATGTGTGACGTAGATATATGTTTAAAGAAATGTGTCCCGTCCAAAGTTCCGAACGGGGCCGAAATACCTCACAGTTTAAATTCATACGTCGTCGAATTCACGTCGAAGGTGTTAGTTAAATTGCTACCTCGTATCCGGTAAAGAAAAACAGGAATCAATATTACTATCGTACTCTTATCTTCTTTCTTTTCTATCTTTACCTTTTTCAAATCAACGAATTTCTTTTTATCATATTTTTTTTTAAATTCGCTTTCACAATTATGTCATCCACAACATATATTCTATTAATTATTGGTATTAAAATTGAGTAAACAAATTATACGGAATTCAGGAAGAAAGCATGTTAAATGCTCTTCTTTTAGTTCAAATAATGAATTAACATTTGTGCAAGCAATTCATATTATTAAAAAGTAATACTTATTTTCTAGATACTTATTGCCCTGACTTATTAAATATATATCGAATATATCGTCGATATATTCTATAAAATTTTTCAAAACAATTATCATATTGAATTGTATATATTATGTAAGATTTAACAGGTAAACTGTCGACATGTCTGCAGTTGGAAGTAATTTGTATATAGACGACCTAGTGAATTTTGCTGAAGCAACGATTTCAAATGAAAAAAGTGAAGTAGCTGAATTTTTTGCTCATACTAACATTTTGATAACAGGAGGTACAGGTTTTCTAGGGAGCTTAGTCATCGAAAAGTTGCTCAGGTACTTTACTACATTATATCTAAACAATTTTTGAGGCATCAAACACGCAACAGATTAATAATAATAATAATTATTATTAACTGAACAACGTAGAATCACTTATTTCTATAATTTTGTTCTATAAATCATTATATGATTTAAAACATAAAAAATAATATGCCTTGAGAATTTCGTTAATTCAAGTTTTGATATTTTTTTGTAATTATAATTTTTAAATATATCATTTCTAATATATCTCAATTCGTCCATTGATTTAAAGATACATCTGTCTATAAAATTATGTTAATGCATTTACACGTGAAATAAATTTATGTATGAGTATAGTGGCAATTTCCGGAAAATTATACAACTACTCGATTTAAATTTTAATTTTATTGTATATATTTAATATTATATATGTCAGTAAAAGAAACTTTTTTCATATTTTACAATTACTACGATATCTTATGTAATAAACATTATTTAATAATTCATTGACTTAATGGAACTTATACCTATGTGTTAATGTAATTCTTCCATACTTTTTTTGGATAGTTATTGTACTTCATTATATAAAATGTTTATAGATGTTGCCCAGGTATTGCAAAATTATATATGATAGTAAGACCAAAAAAAGGAAAAACTGCTTTAGACCGATATAAAGAAAATTTTGGACAAGTTGTGAGTAAAATAAATATTATAATAAATATAAATATAAAATAAATATTTTAATAAATATAATAAACAAATCGTATAATAAATTGTACAATATTTTTATTTATTAGATATATGATAAATTAAGACATGAGCAACCGAATTTTCTAGAAAAAGTAGTAATGTTAGAAGGTGATGCAACGAAAGAAGATTACGGATTGTCGCCAGAAGATAAAAATGCTTTAATGGATGTAAACATTATTTTTCATGCAGCTGCAATCGTACGATTTAATGAAAAACTTCGAACTGCAGTCAACATTAATGTTAAAAGCACAAAATTCTTATTGTTATTTGCAAAAAAATTACCAAATTTGAAGGTATATTTAATATTTTATATAATATAAAACGTTTTACTTATGAAGCACATAAATTATTATTAATAATTGTAAACCATTATATTTGTAGGCTTTTGTACACGTATCAACTGCATTTTCACATTGTATAGATAAAAATATCGATGAAATACATTATACAGATGTTATAGATGCAGATAAAGTCTTGGCATTATTAGATATCTTGGATGATGAGAAATTTGAACAAATAGGAACTGTGTAAGTGTTACTTTGATAAAAACTATAAATTTTCATTCTTTGAATAAAAATGATTATAATAAATTGCAAATATTTTTATATAATATAGACTGCTCGGTAAATGGCCAAATACATATATATTTAGTAAGGCACTAGGGGAGAATGTAGTATTAAAATACAGTAGTGATCTTCCAGTTTGCATTGTACGACCCAGCATTGTTATAGCAACTTTCAAAGAACCAATTTCTGCATGGATAAATAATATATATGGACCTACAGGTATAGTTGTGGGTTCTGGTATGGGTTTACTACGTACATTTTATTGCAAAGAAGAATGTGTAGCAGATATCATACCAGCAGATTATGTTATTTCCAACATTATTTCCTCTGCTTGGGATGTTGCCAACAGGTAAACTTCATAGCTTTTTTGTTAATTTTATAGTTAAATTGAATTATAGTTTAATCAGATCATTAAGCATTAAAATTGAGTACTGTAAAAAATATAAAAAGAAAAGAACAAAAAAAGGCAATTATCAGAAATCTGAATAAAACTGGGAAATATTTGAATCGATAAGTATATTTAAACGAAATAGAATATAAATTTCATACTAGTATAGTAATTATTTTCTTTTATAGAAAAGCTGCAATAAAACCAGGCCAAGTTTCTAATCTAACTAATGAAGAAAAAATACCAATTTATAATTCAGTATCTTCTTGTCAAAATCCAATTACTTGGGGTGAATTTATGAAAAAGAATGAAATGTATGGATTGAACATACCTAGTACGAAATCTATTTGGTATTATATGCTGATACTCAATAGAAATTTATTTATTCATAATGTTTGTATTGTCTTGCTTCATAAAATACCAGCAGTTATTGCTGATACATTAGTTTATCTTACTGGTCGGAAACCTATGTATGTATGTCATATCCAAGTCATATTGATAATTACATAAATTAATAATAATATCTCATTAATATGTTTTTAGATTATTAGATACATACAACAAGATACATACATTTCTCAATGTGATGTATTACTTTTCAACAAGTGAGTGGAAGTTTAAAAATGACAACGTTATAAAACTTTGGAACAAAATGAATTCTGTTGATCAAGAAATTTTTTGTGTTAACGTACAAAAATTGGACTGGAATGAATATTTTTTTCAACATATAAAAGGTCTTCGTATATATCTGTTAAAAGATCCTATGGACACACTACCAGCAGGTCGAAAGAAATATAAAAAGTAGGCTTCTTTATTAAAATTTATTAAGATTAAACTTTTTATTACTATATATTATGACATACAATTTTTTATGTTATAGGCTACGTCTAGCGCACTACTCAATTGTACTAATAATTATACTAATAACTTTATGGATAGCAATATCATTTATAAGTTTCTTTTGGTAATTTTGTCCTTTATCACATTATATAATCATAATAGTAATATTGTATCTTTTTTATTTATAATTGAAAACAATCTTGCCTTATTATCGTGCACACTCCAAACATTTCTTCACAATTGACTTGTTTCGTTATAAGGACAATAGATGTCGCCACAAAGCTATATTATTGTGATTAAAATAAAATATATTTCTTTTAAATATGTTAAATTTTCTAATCTGTAAATGAGAAAATATTTGGTTTCATATTCCGCAATATTCTTTTACTTATAGTTTATTATTATTATTGTTATTGACAGTTTTATATGTTTATTTATTTTATAATTATCATAATTTATATGATCTTTATATATAGGTATAGTGAGTCAGTTTTTGAGTCAATTTTTAAACGTCAATTTGTTTATGTGTAAACATATTAAATAAACTAATATCATACATACAAAAAATATATATTGTTATTGTTATTTATATTACAATATCATTTATATTTAAAATTTTATGTGCCAATATTTTAATTTGAAAACCATTACATTTAAATATTATATTTTAGGAAAGAAATTAAAAACTTTGGTTTTATTTCGTAAGTTGTTTTATTTATTAAATTCAGTATGTTTAACTAAAAAGTTTCTAATCAAAATAAAATTTATGACCATGTTATTAAACATTCACGATATAGATACATTGTAATGTTATTATAGTATAGGTACATTATTAAAATTGTTGATTGTTTGATTTTTACTTTTCTCTAAAAGTATTAGTTATTTTACTTTCTTCATTTCATTGTAAATATCATATTAAATACTACTATTTTTTTTTAGCCTTTTAAAAATATAAAAATATAAATAAAATAAACATAAAATTTAAACATAAAAAAGAAGAAATATAGATTTACACTCTTTTTTTAAAATGAAAGACTGTGTATCATAAAATTTATTGAACATGTCCAACCAAATTTTGTTTGTCATATTTAATCCATTATTTGTCATATTATTTGTCACATTATAATAATCTGATTGTGATATGAAAAGTAATATAGAAACTTACAATCAAGACTACGATATTAATAATAGCAGATGAGGAAAAGAAACTGGTAAATCGTGCGCCATTATCGTACATCGAGCGTCGGAAGGAGTGTGGTGCGATACGGGGATGAAGGCCGCGCGAGCAGGCAAGCGGTTCGAGCGAACAGAGTCGAGGATCGAGAACCAACCGGTGACTCAGGAAGGCAGTGCACGCCCGACTGCCGACAGGAGCGGATGGCGTACGTTGCCGCTCGCGCCACGATTACCTCGTGATTTTCTTTTCTGTCATACACCGTCTCAGTCACCGTCGTCGATCTCTTGTGACGAGCCACAAAGTATTTCAAACCATCCGACTGCGACTGCACAGAGTCGGCATCTTCAGGTTCATTTGTGACATTGCGTGCCGCGTTTCGATCTCGAGATAGAGGAAAAATAGAAACGAAAGACAACAGGAAAGGAAACGGAAGATAAAGAAACGGAAGAGGCGAGAGCGTAGATTCTTTTTTCGCTTTGTTCTCTCATCGTCTCGGTTCGTCGATTCTCATCGTGATCGTGTTTCGTTATCGACGAACATCGCATTCGCGCGCACATCTTTAAATACCACGTGTGTGCGCACGCACGCATCAACTTCGACGACGCACGTACTACACATTATCAGGCCCGCGCGACTGGCGTACGAGGCGCCCTCCAAAAGTCGTGTGTGCGCGTGCAACCCTGCCGGAGCCCGCTGACGTTGGTTACCATAGTAGCGCGCGTGCCGATCAGCTGATCGTTGGGATCCGAGCGTGTTCGACCGTCGGCAGTCGGCCAACAGCGGCTCCGTCCACTCGTTTCATGCGTTCGTGCAGTTCGCTTGCCTTTCGCGCCGTGATTTAGTGACCAACAAACCAACTGTTTCATCAACATCCCATTTCGTGGCAATGCACACAGTCCCAGGAAAGTCCTCAAACGAACCAGACAAATAGATTGTTCTCATCGCTCGGATCATCTTAATCACCGTTATATCGAAGTCGGAAGGATGCACTGTAACACATATATTACCACGTACCATCGATCTAATTAGCCGATCAGACATTCGAGTGAAGTATGATTTGAAATAGATAAAGTCGGACCAGTTACGTTGCTCTAATTCGTGGTGTGCTTGTGGCAAGGAAGCGCCAATGCATTTCAGGACACACCATCGCATATGATTATCGATATGCCATGATTTACGTCACACGTTTCAACTTCTACCGTCCAGGAACGAAATTTAACAGAGATACATCCAACGACAGTGATTTGAGGTATTAGTTATCATGATTTGCTCAACTGAACGCTGTAAAGCATCTCGGTTGAAACGTCGTTTGGTCGTCGAATTACATTTTCGAATTACCTTCGAACAGAAGTTTATCGAACATGAGAATACATATCTGACAGTCGAAACTATATTCGATAAATAATCGCAGTAAACACAGACCATAGCAATAGTGTGTTGTCAGGTGATTTTACAAACGTGTCTGAACATACCTTTGACAGCCATCAGCAACACGCTACAAAACCAACAAAACAAACTCACGAAAGGAAATGATATCTCCATCTAAGTAAATATCTTTCGAGCAGTTACGTTGTAATCGATTAATTTGCAAATGGAATGAAATTCGATTGCTTGAACTAAGTCGACGAATCGGTGAATCGCAACACTCGGAAAAATGAAACGCAACCATTTTGAATCGATCGATCAGAAGCTAGTGTCGTAGTGCATTTCGGGGAAAAATATCGATATATCGATATTGCTTGGTGTCAGGTGTCGCTAGACTGCAGTGAACGATGGCCGCGCAAACTTCGTACACACGAAACGAAGAATGGGACGCATCGGAATTGAAAATAGCGATCGTGGTGAATAATAATTTTCGCTAAAACAAGCTACAAACTCGTTTGCGATAATGGCATATCGTAGAATGTGAAAGCTTCTTCGTAGAAGTCGAATTTTTGACAATCGTTTGTACCTGTGACGAATCGCGTAACTGCGTTGACCAGACTCTCAGTGAATATGTGAAGTAACTAAATCCTTTTTTTTTCTTTTACAAAACTTTCGTCAAACGTGATCTTTCATTTTGTTTCGTGCCGTGCCTGTAACTGCATTTTTATGCATCAATCGCTACGATGACAGTTCGAGGTAATTTCTCGTTCACGTGAAAACACTCTGTGATAGCCGATGCCAGCAACGCCATTATTGGGATTAAGTCAAGTGTGAAAAGAACGCGGTTCCTGAAATCATCTTGATAAAAAGCTTGGTAAGTACGAAACACGTTTGTACATCCATCTATATTCCTTTTTCTTTAGCCTGTTTGATGACCGATGAAAATTTGACGAATGACATTGGCCTATCAAATTCAAATTTCGGAATAACGAACATTTCATAGATACCAACTTAATGTGTCTATTACGTCACATCAGTATTTCCCGCCATTTTTTTTTTTTTATTTTTCTCCCTATGCATTCCGCTTAAATAGAAGCGAATAAAATACGTAATTTTATAACTGAGCAAACGATTACAGTCGAACAAACAATTATTGTAGCGTGTAACGTAATTATAATTTTTATGGCTGTAAGCTGAAGTAACGTCGAGCGGAATATAAACTCTAGTCAGTTGTCGAGTCGACGAACCTCTATCGATCTTTACCTCCTGTCTGCGTCTGTCCTCCCCCGCTCTGTCACACAGGAATGCAGGCTGTGTTGTATTTCTGGCGTGGTTATTTCTTCAGTTTTTCGAGTTGTAATTGCCATCACAAAATGTCAGAACAAACCGGTTAATTAACACCATTGGCTCATTATCATAAATATTCATATATCATATTGTGCGTACATACGTGCAATGAAAAATATTTACACGATAAAAATATCTGTATAGGCTTGTAAATCTTAG